CCCCAAACCTTTTTAAATGACTCGTAGATGGTGGGCACAGTGCTCACAAAGAAGAGCATGAGGTGGGCCAGATACTTGGAGAGGAAGCCAGTTCCTTCTATGGGGCCTCTCTCCCAACTTGTCCCCCACCAGAACCTGTCCACAAGACCCCTTCTTACACACATATCACCTTAATTCTCTCAGCCAGTGTAAGACCCTCCCTGGCCTGAGCCCTTGCCTCCTCTGCTGCTGCTTCCCTCATCACCCATAGACAGATGGGAAATCTTCATCAAAGACCAACTCTTCCTTCCAGGCTCAAAGGATCACAGCAGGGTCCTGGAAGAACTCTTATGGAGAGCTTGGGATAGGATTGACAGGTTTCAGAGCTTCCCCTCCCCCAACACACACCCTGACCTGAAATAGAAATAACCATCTGGATCCACTTATGGGTCTGGCTAAGGGAGGGAAGAATGCTTCTTGTTTCAAGGGTGAGCATGTGGCTCTTCCTCTCTTAGTGGGAAGGTACCTCCTCAATTGGCCCTGTGCAGGAATCCCCAGGGCTCACATACCTCCTCTCTCAGGCCATTTCACTCCTGGTATTTGATGCCTCCCCCCCATTATCTGATCGCAATTTTCCATCCCAACCTCATTTCTCCAACTCTCCTTTGGGACTTATTTGGTGGTACGTACTTGGAGTTAACTTCACTGACCTGTTTGCCCTTCAGAGAACGAGCCCTGCACTTGCACTTCATACCTCATGTCTTTGCTTACACTGTTCCTTCACCAGGAATGCCCATCATCTCCACTTCTATAGAACTTTCAAGGTTTTAGGCAAATGCTGTCTTTGCTCCCAGAGCACGAAGGCTGTGTTTCCACCCATTGGATATTTATGTGTACTTGCATTAGCATTAGGTGTTTACATATCTGTTTCTCCGAAGAGACCATGAAATCCTTGAGAGGGGACTGACTAGATCTCTCAATTCCTGTCTCCAGGGCAGATAGGACGTGCTCAGGGAACATGACTGGTGTTGCTGACCATAGATGATGTCCTTAAGTGATCTGGGGAAGAATCACCTCAGTCAATAATTCAGGGAAACAGTCTTAAGTCAGGGGCTAGCCCCCAAGTTGGAGGAACTGCTGGGCATTATGCAGTGTGTGTGGCATGTGGGAAGGTAGCGTCCTCTCTTGATGGCAGCCTTTCTGCTCAGCTCCATCATTACCCTCTCTAGCCCCTGGAGGCTGGGCCTCTCTCCATTATGATTCCAAACCATGGTGGGGAGGGGACCAAGGGGGCCAAAAAATACAACAAACCGTTTGAGAACAGAGATCCTCTGGCCTTTTAGACATCTGAGTTCATAAAACAACTTCCTTCCCACTCTATTTTATAGATGGGCAAAGTTACAGAAAGCATTGCTGAGACCAGAATCTAAGTCTCCTACTAGAGTGGGCAGTGAAGCATGAAAGCTAAACATGTGGACTTGGGAGTCAGCCGGACAGACCAGTGTTTGAACCTTAGCTCTGCCAATGGCTATCACACCTTGACTGTTATATTTTGGGAAAGTAGCAGGATATGTCAGGGTATCAGTTTTCCCATCTCTGAAATAGGAAACAATTTACATC